GTTTGCAGAAGCGATCTGTCTTCAAAATCTACTTGAAAGGTATGATTTGTTTGGGGCACAGTTAGTTTTAGCTTCAGCTGCCTCAAGTGAGTTCCGTGCAACTGCTCTCTGGGTATTGTAACTGGCTATCTGGCTACCGGTAGCTTGGCTCCAACAATCTATTGAGTCGACTACGGTACGTTTGGTTTGTGTCTCCCTTGAGCTAGCTAGCATGCGATACGATAGTACTGAGACCTGTGCTGGTCCCACCTTCAATGTACTCGTAGGTTATCGCGGTGCGTGAGTGCACTATCATACGTACCGGTACTACCAGAATAGCGGTACAAGGATCAAGGATCATGTCCGCAGGGCAGTTCGGGCTTGTGTCTACCATACTGTACTGTGTACCGGTACTGCACCGTGGTCCGTGCTGAGCAGTAAGCACTATGATAACTGATCATGAGTGTCAAGCGGTTGTGTCTGAGCACTGAGCACTGAGCACACGTCAACAGTATTCACTCGCCGCCACTGGTCACGGCAATCGCAAGCTGAGCAGAGAAAGTCATCTGAAAGACTTATGATGGTCAATGGTTAACACATGAACCATGTCTGCAGGAAGCATTGAAAAACATAATAAATAAAGAATAAACAAGACAAAGTACAGCTGGTTCATTAATAATACTCATACTAGCTAGTACTAGAGTGGACTAGTGGTACGTTCGTACTGATAAGACTTAGTAAGCTGGAGTGGTACCAGAGCTGTACCGTACCAGCTTCTGTACCAGTTATTGTATGGTTCTCGCAGCATTTCCTGTTACATTGTCTTTCGAAACTAACAGCGGATGGAAGACTGCTTACGAACCCTGCACAACGACGCGGTGGTGCGGTCTTGGGAGTTAGTTGGAGGCAGAAATCATGAAATCATCCTCATTCCAAGCAATACTGGTACCAGTGGAAGTGGCAACAAAGAGACCTTGTGTGCTAGCTGGCTAGTAGTCCATCTCACATCGCTGCTTTGGTACCTACCTTCTCTCGCAGTGCCGGGTCTCCCAAAGTTTGGCTGGTATTATTGTCCCTAGCTAGCTATCTTTCCCATCTCCAAGCTTTCTCCTGACACTGTCATATAGTGTAGCAGTCCTGAGGAAAGCTACCGTTTTTGCTGTTGTCGTTTGTTGAAATGGCCACCACCACCACCACCACCAAGTCATCCTTATCGATGTCCATGAGAAGCAGCAGTGCCACCGCCAGTTGTATCACCGAAACGAGTACGAGTAATACTAATAGTGATTTTCGCCACAGTCTGACATCCGTCGACAACGATTATGAACAAAAGATGGATGACGAGTTACTACGCCGTACCAGCAAACCCTTGGTCTTTCGCAATGTGTTTTGTGGCCGCGAAGATGAAATATTAAAACTGGAAGGCATCTTTCGTCGCACAGCGGCGGGTCGCTCCAATAGTCCCAGCTTGGTCTTGGTCAGTGGTGCCAGTGGTACGGGCAAATCGGCCTTGGTCGCCCGTCTACGCGATCATTTGGGAACGACCGAAGAAGAGTTCTTTTGGGTATCTGGAAAATTCGAAGAACAACAACAACAACAACAAAGTCATGCCATGATGATAGCGGAGGAAACTTGTGTGGAAGAAGAACGAAGTGGCAGTGGCGTGCTGAGCAGCACCAACAGTACCAACAGCAATTGCTCGGAAACAGCACCCGATAACCTTCATCCCTTTGCAGCCATTGTCGATGCCTTTTCACACTTTTGTCGAGAACTGGAAGAGGAGGAACCAGAGACAATAGAGGAAATCAAGGCTGATATTCTAGAGGCAGTGGGCCAACAGGGGGCTCTACTCACCTATATGATACCCAGCTTGTCCAAAATCATTGGAGAACAACAAGCAGCAGGAGAAACCAGTGGAGAAGTCATTCGCTTTCATTACGTCTTTCGCAACTTCATTCAGGCCTTGGCCACCAAAGTCAGAAGTGTGGTCTTGGTATTGGAAGACTTGCACAGAGCAGACAATGCCTCTCTGGAATTGCTACATTATCTATTCACTAGCAAACTGAAGCATGTCATGTTTGTTGGAACCTATAGATCCGATGAAGTCGATGAGGAACATCGCTTTTCCAAGTGGCTACATGGCGTTCAAGAGGCACAACAAGAACAACAAAAACAACAAGAACAATCACCGAAACAACAGTCCAACAACAACAATCCAAATACTCATCACCATCACGTCACAACACTAGGACTGGCTGAAATGAATCTGGACACTATCAATACATTCATCTCCAACGTGCTCAACCTTTCTGAAGATGAAACACGAGCACTGGCACACATTGTCTATACCAAAACAAAAGGAAACATCTTTTTTGTCACACAATATCTCGTATTCCTCACGCGCAACTACCTCTTGTGGTTTGATATCATTAAAAAGAGTTGGGATTGGGACGAACCGGCCATTCGAAAAGAGTCGGCCGTTACAACCACACTCCTCGATTTTATGCGCGACAAGTTACAACAATCCAAAGTCGCACCCAAGATTCTACCCGTGGCGGCTTGTTTGGGTGCCAGGTTTCATCGGGACACGCTCCGTATGATACTCACCGGACTCGCGCAAGTGGAAGCACTGACACATCTGGTGATGGCACCGGAATCCGATGACGAACTCGTACAGGCACTCAAACAATGCGAAAAGGAACGGTATATTGAAAATTGTGGCAACAAGAACTACAGTTTTGTGCACGATAAAGTACAAGAGGCAGCACTGATACTCCACCCCATTATCATTATGCAACAGATCCGATATGAAGCGGGGACCGTCCTGCTGCGGCAATCCAATGAATCCGAACTGGACGAGAAACTCTTTGTGGTGGTCAACCTGTTGAATGCCGGTCGTCTGAGATATGATTCCGTGTCACCTCTGGAGATTGCCAAGTTGAATCTACGGGCGGCTGGAAAAGCCAAGCGGTTGGCGGCATTTTCCAGTGCATCGTCCTATGTGGAAACGGCGCTGGCGAGTCTGCCGCCACCGTCGCATCTGGATGCCGAACAGCTTGCCATTTTACTGGATCTGTGGTCCCTTGGTGCCGAAGTCAACATGGCCATGGGGCGAACCGAGATCACCGAAGAGTACTGCAACAAAGTGCTGGAGAGAAACGACTTTACCGTCTTGGATCGGCTGCGGGCTCAGAATTGCATGTTGGACTGCATTACCAATCACCGCGGTCAACCAGGTGTGGCGTTGGAACGATGCATCGGTGTGCTCGAGCAGCTGGATTGCAGTCTCCCCAAGGGGTCCCTCGGGCAAGGGGTGCGAACCATCACGTCACTATTTTCTAGCAAGGCGGCCAAGAATATTCCAAAGCTGGAAATGGTTGACAGTATGGATGTCATGACGGACAGGGCCAAGTTGGAGAGCATGCGACTGATGGATCGAGCCGCAATATACGCGTACCTGGAAGCCAATCCAATGTTGTTTACTGTTTGTATTGCCCGAATGGTTCGATGGACCATCAAGTATGGAATATGCGACCAGTCTCCATTTGCATTCGCAATGCTCGGTGTCACGCTGATGCATGTCATGGGTGATTACAAAGTTGGTGCCGTGTACGCCGAGTTGGCGTTGTCGATCATGCGCAAGCTGCAAACACTGGCATCCAACGACGAGTCTCAGCGTGCTGCCTTGACGCATTCGCAGTCCCGAACTTCATTTGCAGCCTACGGATTTGTGTTGTACTGGATCAAATCCGTTCAAGAGTACCAAGACGAAATGGTGGTTGGCCACGAAGCGGGAATGCGAGTTGGTGATACCGAAAGTGCACTGTGGAACACTTTTCACCACATTGGGCTCAGTTTGGCGGCGGGGAAACCACTCGAGAAAGTTGAGGAGGTGTGCCGACGAGGGGTTTCCGAAATGGTTGCATTGAAACGGGGAGAGGCTGAAGTGTTCACACGGGTTGCTTGGCAAGGATGTCTAAATCTGATGACCGGTGCTGAATCACCCACAATCCTCACCGGAAGCGCCATGCAGGAGCAAGACTACTTTGACAAGAAGGGTTCTTGGAAAACGAAGTTGATGCCCCATGTGTTTGGATACATGAAGGTCTTCCTCTGTGCCTTTCTTGGTGACTACGAGCAGGGTGCAAAGCTGGCGATTGAGCGTGGGGACGGCTTTGTCACAGACGCGCCTGGGTCGCACTGGACCCAAACGGATCCGTTCCATCGTGGCATTTGTTTGTATGCTGCCGCCATTCATTCCAAGAAGCGTTTATACAAGCGCCATGCCCAGAAAGTGCGAGGCACTGTGAAAACTTGGGCAAGCAAGGGGAACGCAAACGCGGTACATCAGCTCAAGCTTTTGGATGCCGAGCACGAGCTATGCTGCGGGAAGCGGGAGAATGTAAAGCCTCTCTATGAGGATGCCTGCGCCACAGCTTCTTCTGAAGGATTTATACAGGACGCGGCATTAGCAAATGAACGGTTCGCCGAGTTTCTCCTGTCGTCAACCGCCGAGGCTGACGTCAAAGAAGGACAGGATCGCCTATTGAAAGCGGTGAGTCTGTACAGCGAGTGGGGTGCACGGTCCAAGGTTCAGCTTCTTGTGGTCAAATATCCCGATCTCGAGCGCGCGAGTAAACCCACCGCTCCTCGAAACAAGATGGCCGCCAGGTCTTTCCGAGTGTCCACCGCGTCATGAGCGAGATCGCAGTGTTGGCAACTGCGTGCCCTGTTTCCAATTAATTTTTGCTTGTACTAGCCACTAGATTGGTCCTATTGTCCTCGTCATTATGTGGCAGGCTGATGAACCGCAGCAGACGCGAGTACAATTTTTCACAATCCAATGTTGTCAATAAACTAGCTGTACCAACCATTTTGTGATTGGCCTAGCCAGCCAGCCAGCGGCGAAGACTAGATTATGCCCGTTGCTACGTTATGGAGGAGGAGGGCATCTTATCTATGGCAGTCGGCGTAAAGCGAGTCATCTTCGCAACACACTGAACGTGTCTTTCGCGTCTTGCTCTGCCTAGTGGCAATCACTGCGTAGCTACATGTATCTAGGTAAAGGTTATTCTTGTTGTTGCTATGGAGGAGGAGGAGGATCTTGCTTGAAGTAGTCGGCGTAAAAGTCATCTTCAAATACATTGACGACATTCTCTTCTTGATCACTATTTGCTTGTGAAAGCAAAATCGACAACACCACCAACCCAGCCGTCATGCCAACGACTAGAGCCATCAAACAGACCACACCCAACGCACTCAGCCGACACGCCCTCCTAGAAATGCGGTACTCCCCAGAATCCTCCTCATAGGAGGACAAGCCCTTGGTCCGAATCGTCCCAGCAGTGCTGTTGAGATTTTCTTCGTCCACATAGGCGAGTGCATCTTCCAATCTCAAGGTATGGCTGATTCCCCTCTCCCCCGCCGCATTGACCGTGGCCACCGAGATGACACCATCGTTCTTATTATTGTTGTCGGAATGAGTAGTAAATTTGCCAAAATCCAGCAACAAATGGCCCTTTTGTCCTCGCGACAGAGGAACCAGCATTTGGTCCTGAGGGAGCAATTGAATGCCACTTTGTTTGGAAAAACAGGGTTGCTCGACTCGTTCTTCTCGTACCACGGGTGCCGTTGTTTTGGGAGGTGATATTTGTGGTGGTGGGTGAATATTATTTGTAGTAATATTGTACGATTCTCTTTCCCGAGTGCTGTCTATCGGGTTGGTGGGTGGATCGGGTTGCACTTTTCTGGTATTATTTGTTTGCGGTGGCGGATGAAGATGGTGTTGTCGTTGCGACTGTTGTTCAATAGTGGTCAAAATCTGTCTGGCTCTTCCCCGCACGCTGAGATTGTCATCATCTTCGTCTTGAGAATAATTTTGGTGGCGCCGTTGTCCGCCCACGTGACTGGTACTGGCTCGTCTAGTTGTAGGTGGAGGAGATTGTCGTGTCCGTGATGCAGCCGATAACAGTCGCTCGGATTTTGCCTTTTCCATGACAATGTCATGCTTGGTGGGTGCGTCCGGCTGTTTGTTGTGATAGACGGGAGTGGCCAAATCATCCCCATGCCGTTGCGATTCCGAGAAATCTTCGTCATGGGTCGTCCTCATGCTCTGCTCGTGCGCTTCCACCCATCGAGCCTTCATGTCCTTTCTCAAGTCTTCCAAGGCCTGTCGAGATTGCAGTTGAATCACATAGGACTGACCATTCATCAGAGTCAACTTGAGCAAAGCCTTGGCACTACTGGCCAAATTGGGAGTGATTTTCTTGACCTGAGCCAAGTCCAGCCGAACGGCACCATTGTTGTTGCTGCCTTGAAAGACTATGAATTCATCCGTCAACACCAAGGCTCCTGGTTCTTTTTGAAACCATAAAGGACCGTACTTCTTCTTGTTGCTGGGACGAGAAGATGACATGCTTCAGACTATTAGTAATAGACTATTGGTGCTCTTTTGCTTATTGTTGTTGTTGTGGCTTTGTGTGAAAGGTGTCGGTGGTATTCCTAACGTCAACTGGCGGGTCTCGAAGAAGTTGATCGCGCGAGGACCAATGCGGAATACTAAAAACACACAGCAAAGCTGCAAGAAACCAAGCCTTCTCCTTCTCTTTTAGCTTGCATCTTTCTCCAGGAGGACAAAAGCAAATGACACAAGGGAGGAAGGAAGACAGTCAAAGACCATAAGATCTTTCTTTCACGTAGCAAGTCTTGGACTACAGTAATTTATTCTAAAAGTCAGGTTACTTCTAAAGGTCATGATAGAAACCGCAACAATCTAAACTAGTTCTACTCTCGGTTGTATTGAAAAGGCGGCGTTCGATTAGGGCGCCCCGCTGTAAATTGTGTCATCGGAAACCAAACTGCCAAGGTCTACACGGGTACTGGTGTCTCCGCCAAAGTCCGCATACACCACCACCAAAACAATGGCAACAATCAAGCAAATCAATCCCATACAAGCAAACATGACAGACCCAAAGCAGACTCTTTTGGAAATAAGATAGCCCGCAAAGTAAAAGTGATCGTAATCCACAGAACCTTCATCATTGTTGCATTGCCCCACTTCCAAGTCCTGGTCGTCATCCAAGGAAACGGTGCGACTGACGCCCGTCGGATAGCCAAACTGGTCCAACGATAGGACTCGTACAGAATGGGTCCGATCCATGTCGGAAAAGTCCATCAAGAGCTGTCGTTTGCTGCCTGTTTGTACCATGATTTGATCCCGAGACACCATGCGGACCTTGTCATTCGCATTGCTGGGGCCTTTTTGGGGTTTGCGGCTACCACTACCTTTTCGCCCCACGAGTATTTTGCGTTCCTCGTGAATCTCGTACGCACCGGCAGGCAATGGAATGGCGTCACCTTGCACCGTGTAGACATTGGTCGACGGAACTCGGTGAATCTGCTGGTTGGGATACGTCACGACGATTTGATGTGCACTCGACGACTTTCCAGCAGCACTTTGGGGAGTGTCGGGGAGGGACGACGTGGAGGATGACGAGCCGGTGCTTTCGGTGGATGCCTTCTTGATGATGACTGTTGGGGAAAGTTTTTTGCTACGAGAGGACACGTGGGTTGTCGATTTGGAAGAGGAGTCTGTCACACTGAAAGAGGTGGAACGACCCTTTGCTGGAGTTGGGTTGGAATTTCGGCGAGTAGATTGGCTGCTGGATACAGAAGGATCTGGTTTCCGAGACTCCCAGAGATAGCGGTTGTCGTGATGATGTGGATTGGCCATGGGCGGTGCAACCAGGAGGGTTTGAGGAACATCTCTGTATTGAGCCATGCTGTCACTTGCCCGACGCCTTTCCTTTGTATGGCTGCGTTCTCGATTGACGTCCAAAAGGTTGCGTTCCGATCGAGCCTTGCTGCGACGAGGCATGTGGCGTCGATTGTTGTTTGGCGTGCTTTCTGGTAGAAGCGATACGGTTTCGTCTTCGTCTTCAAAGACTTCTAGTTCTTCGTGTTGAATATCCGATGACATTGTATTGTTCTCTCGTGCCACCTGGCCACCTTGCGATACCTTCCATCGAGTTTTCATGTCATTACGAGCTTTGTCGAGTTCATCTCGAGTCTCAAATTGAAATGTAAAACTATCATTGTTGTTGTTGCCATCTTCTTTGTTGATGGTCACCTTGAGAAGGGATCTAGCACTGCTTCCCACGGCATTGGCCTTGATGCGTTGAATGTTGGACCATTTCAACGACACCGACTGCAAGCCATTGTCGGTGTAGAAATGCACGGCTTCTTCGTTCAACAAGAGACTGCCAGATTGCTTGCCATGAGAAACATTGGTGTACCAAGACGAAGACGGTGGCAAGTCTTCACCACCGATGCTGACTTGGGATGGGCGCGAAGATGCCGCAGAAAGGCGTGACGAGGAAGCATCGGATGGTTGCACCATGGTCAAATTCTTTATTGAAGTTTGGGCCAAAATGTGACAGTTTATTTTCGAGGTCGGCAGACCATCGTCGCATTATTATTGTATTGTTTAACTAAGTTAGGGGGCTTGTGTGATCCCCATGACCCCCTTTTGCAATGGACCCTAAATTCCTTCGCGCCTAAAACAATTTTGGAGGGGTATCGGAACCACAATACAGTAAAGAAATCCATTATTATCGCTTCCTTCTTCGTGAGATCAACATCATGTCTTTGCCGCTCGAACCGCAAGCAAAACGACAGCGTACTGATGCTAGCAACAGCAACATTAGACTCCCAATTATTGACGATGAAGCTACTGCCAACCTCAAGTTGGCAGCAGCTGGATTTGACCCCAATGATTGTATCACAGCCATCGGTCCACCAGAAATAAAAACACCCTCCGGCGTTGAATTATGGAATTGCATCACTCCAATGACTTTCTTCTGCTTCCATGGAGATCATTCCATGTGCAGATACATTTTTACTCAAGGTGGAACAACAACCAGAGCTGGTGAAGAATTTTGGTATCCATTGTATGCTGCAGCGAATCATGGCCATGTTCAACTCTGCGAATGGCTGATTGAAAATGGGGCCCAAAGAGACTTGCAAAGAGGGTATGCGCCAGAGCATCGTCCGCTGGGGCTGTGTTACCGGAAAGGTGGCCTGGCCATTGCAAAATGCCTCATCCTCCATGGAGCCATTCAGAATAATGAGTCCGAAGAAATGGTTCGCAGCATTTTGGCCTGTGATCTCAATCCTCGAATTGTAATTACTCCAACTCTTGCCCGGGCGATAGATCGCCGTCCAAAGTTAATGACATGGTCACTGGAAGCGATCATGGATTACGCTTGCTTTCACGCATTCCTCATGGGGACGTTTGTCCCGGGGTTTTCCTCTGACGCCCTCCGCAAAAAATTGGTAGCAAGGCTTGGCTCTTATGACGCTGCAAAAACTATCATGGACGGTGTAAGCAGCAACGAGCAACGGAAACTGTTGTGGGAACAGCTTCTGGTATCTTCTTCAGAATCGCCTGTGGAGAGTCTTTGTGGCCATCCTGGAGTCTTGAAATGCATTGCCCAATTCGTCGGTGTGGATGACGGCAAAGCCCTTCGAATTCACCTCCAGATGGTGGAACTCTTGCATGACATTACGATGAGCGAGGACGAACCGCCAGTAATACTGGACACAATCCGCGACGACGAAATTAGCGATGATGAAAGTGACGAGGACGCATAAGCTTATTGACCAGTTTCATGTCAAGCAAGACTTGGGTTGTGGATGCCAGAATGGTGCATCCAGAGTTCTACCACTTGTGTTGGTAGAAATGATCATAATCTTTATAGACTCTGGTTTGTATGAGATTCAACCTTGCTGGTAGACTCAGTTTTTGACTTGTTACCTCATTAATTATACTTGGAAAACTTTGGCAAGCGGGTGAATGCAGCCTACTCTACACTCCAGTGAGGACTGCGGCGATCCGCGTCTCAAAAGACACAGTGCAAACAAGAGCTCCAATGCCCCAGAAGGAGCCAGGTCCAGTGGAGAGAGACCACAAGTGGATCATCCCAAACAGGGAACAACCGGGATAGCAACCGAAGGAACAAATCCTCAGAGACAAGGCACTTCACCTTGAGAATATGCCCACTTTTGTTGCTTGGATCCAATGTCTTCCCCCCTTCGGGAACGCAAAAACAACCTTGTTCATCACGAGGTTTGGGAACCGCCATGGTTGCCATGGCGCCCTTCCCAAATATGTTCGTTCGTAGAACCTGGCTGCACAAATCAGAGAACCACCCCACCAATTATTGCAAAGACGGAGCCTGATCATGGTGGGAGCCGGGCCTGGTTCAACATTGCCTTTCGGGCTTGTGCGGTGAGTGTCTTAACGTTAAGGATAAGGATAAATCGTACAATACGGTAGAGACAAGGCAGGCAACAACTCAGCCAAGAGCGCGGCCACATTGGCACATTCGGCACCCTCCAAACGCCAATAATAAAAACCCGGTTGCGTCCAAAGCAAAGCTCAAAGGTGAAGCAAGCTACAGTACCATAGCTAGCTACCGTACCAGCTAGTAGATACATTCCAAGTCTCTGCATTCCTTCATTGTCGTCACCATGCCTGGTCCACCGCATCCAACGCAAATTGAGCCTCTCAAGAGATTGACCAAGATCGTCGACGCATTCTTGTCGCGGCCAGATATCGGACCCTTTCGAGAGCCAGTGGATTGGCGAGGGTTGGGCCTGGATGATTACCCCAAGATTGTCAAGAAGATGATGGATCTGGGAACCGCCAAGCGCAAGCTGGAGCGCAATCAGTATTTTTCTGCAACGGAATGTGCCAACGACATTCGTCTCATCTGGTCCAATTGCATGGCCTACAATGCCGATCAAAGTGATTTCTGGCTGTTGGCCAAGTCTTTTCAGAGACGCTTTGAGGATCGGTATCGCAAGATTCGACAAGAAAGTAAGTTTCGTTAGCCATTTTGACAGGGAACTTGAGTTTGGATTGTTGAGCAGCAGCAACAAGAAAACAAAGGTTCAAATAGAAGGTTTAGGTATTGGAAGGAAAGCAGTTACTAATCCATTTTGTCTCAATTCTATTCCCTCTTCCCCATTCATTCATTCATTTAATTAATGTCCTGCATTAGTGGACTGTGGAGCGGACTTGAAAGATGGTGACGACTCCGTGCCGGATGCCCCTCCATCCTCGGCATCGAAGTCTGGGTCTGGTGCCAAAGAACGGGCGGCGCCTGCTCCTGTGCCTAGCAGCCCCGATAAGCCACTCCCCGTGGATGTTCGTGCACGATTTGGAGCTAATTTGTTTCTTCTCTCTGGCATTGAACTGGCCCATGTCATTATGAAATTGGAACAGGAGTGCCCTCATGTGTTGGAACACCTTAGTGATGAAGTCATAACGGACGAAACCACGCCAGGAGCGGTGCCATCCTTCGCTCCCAAGCTTGAAATCAACGTGGATGCTATCAATGCTCAATTGTTCATGGAACTCTCCAACTTTGTGGAAGAACGAGTAGGATCCAAGGGATTCACTGAACCAGAAGAAGCACCACCACGGCCCAAGAAGAAAAGGAGATAAGAAAGGGTTATTTGTGGTGAAAATAGCGAAACCAGCAATCCTCCATCATTCATGGCCATAGATTCCTATCTAGCTAGTCGCCAAGCGGACAGGATCTTGACATAATGAGACTGGCAAATTCCATTTCTAATTGACTCATAGTCAGAACAAACCATGCTCTGCTGGAGTTGTTTCCAAGCTATCGTATTCAACCACTCTCGTCTACATCTCCCTTCCCACAAGGTGGAGTTCTAATTTCCATTTCGAAGAGTCAACAGACAACTCTACTGCAGTCGAACACATCGGGTAATCGCGCATAAGATGGCTCGAGTCAGCAAGCTCGGGCGTCCTTTCAGTCACTGCTGGAAAGATATGTCTTAGTGGCGGCAGTGGTGGAGATTGTGCCGGCACCGTAGACTACAGACCTTTTTCGGCACCCGTACGTCGTAGCAGAGGGCTGGCATCAGTTTTATTTCTTGTAGGCGAGACTCCCTTGTACGGTATAGTTACAATTATTCATGATTCACTCCATAAACTAGGGACCGCCCTCAGCAGGCCATACACAATGTGGATCTTGGGGTACTTTCGGCAGTGGCAACTCGAGGGCACTTTTTTATTCGAAAGAAGGGAACAGAGCATCTCAATGAATTCCGTGCGAGTTGTAGCAGGGTCTGTGGCCTTGGCTCTCCCAAATGCATTCAAATCAAGTAGATATAGCAGCTGATCCGAACCCTTCCGATGGAGCAAGGCTCCGGCTTTCATGCCCACTTTTTCCAACGTGCGATTGTTGTGCTCCAATACTTGGATTAGACAGGCAATGACCTTTTCCGTATGCACGCTCTTTGGAATTTGGAGGCTTTTGAGCCGTGTATTTGCAGCCAATGCATCGCAGAGATCGGGAAGGTCCACTTGCAAGCCACTGATCTGCAAAGACTCGAGCCCCCCATTGTTGGCAATCACGCCGCGGACCGCCTCGGTGACACTTCCCGAAACTGCAACTCCACTCACTCCAGAATGTTGTCGCACCCAAACACTGGAGAGGGATGGGATGGATGGAATCATCCGTAGCAACCCCTCCCACCATTCGAGCGGTTCCTTTTGTGCAAACACCACCAGGTTGCAAAGGCTCCCCGTGCCACTGGTGGTGGCGCCCCAAGACCCATACAGTTTCGTACCGGCCACGTGAAACGTCTCCACTTGGCTCGTCGCAATGGCATTGGAGAGTACCTGCGCATCGGCTCGAAAGTCAGTCACCATGAGCTTCTTTAAACGACTGCGTCGCAGCAAATGGCAGAGTGGCCGGGTGACATCCATGGACTTGGAGAGGTTGTAGGCACTCAACTCCAAGAGCACCAAAGAGGGCAGCGATGCCACTTCTTCCATCATGCCATCAAAGGTTTGTAAGCAAGAGCCCTGTCGCAGTTGAATCTTTAATGTTGTCAAGCGACATGTGTCGGGGCGCGTCCAATGGACTTGTAGCGATGATGATTTGCGGGGTGCCGCAATTTCCAGATTCTCCAGGATGAGTCGGGCCGGTGCGTTGGTCGAGAACAAGAATTGGACCAGACTTTCGCGTCCTTTCAATTTTAACTGTTGCAGCACCAATTCATCCAAACGTTGGTTGTTGTTGTCGTTTCGGTTTGTCATCATCATCATGTCAAACCAGGCATTGTCCATTTCTCGCCTGGTCGCGTCGCAATTTCGTCGGAATTTGAGCCGTTTAAACACTGAGGAACGAGCCCCGAGTAGTTCTTGCAGTGGTTTGGCAAATCTCTGCGTTGGGTTGTTGTCGTTATTGTCGTCTGGTGATGATGATGGCAGTAATCGAGGTAGCATGAGAGAGCAATAGAGGGTTTTGTCGTGTTTCTGCTTTGCCAGTGCTTCGAGGAGATAGCAAAAGGCATCGGAGGAGATGTTGCAGTGAAACCCAATGTTTTCCCACTTGGGGAAGAGAATCGCCAAGGCTTGAATTTGATCGAGTGACAAGCAACAGTTGTACACCTTGTTGGACGACGCCACCAAAAGTCCAGTTCGTGCGGGAAGCAATGGACATCCCAAAATATATTGCATGGTTTCGGCATCCACCTTGGTCTTTAGGATCCATCGAAACAGAGCACTGGTATCGGGCTCGCCGAGGACAAATTTGTTGTTTCCCAATACCGGCGGGTGCATCTCTAGCATGGTGCGGACTGTGTGTGGCAACCGGCTGGATGCCCGTTGAGCCGAATATCGCGATAGTCGCAATTGAGATACGTAAATGGAGAGTGGTGTTTTGTTGTAATGATAATCCCGTTGCACCAAGAGCGATGGTGCCTTTTGCAGGAGAAATTTTAAGACGGGTCCGTCCTCCACTCGATTTTCACCGGCCGCTTCGTGAAACGGAAAGGGAAAACAGTCGGCATAGGCACCATGATCCAAGAGTGCTGCTGGGAACAGTTCGTAAATGGCACGGACAATCTCCAAATCGGCTTGGACAAAGACGGCATGCCACAAGGGATACATGCCATGGTCGGCCCGTGTCCAAGACCGATACGGGAAAGGTTCCTTGGCCAGCTGCGGGTGTTCTTTCAAAACGGCAAGCAACCATTGAGCGTGCTCTCGTTCCTTTTGATTGTATTCTTCCTGCAGAGTGCGCTCTCTGCCATGATACCTCGGAATGGGAAATTGGACAAGGGCATCGGCAAGATCCGATCTGGCTGCCTCCAGAGGAGAGAGAGCCACATTTGCCTCTTTTGAAAATTCCATTTTGGCACCCACAGAGGCGTCGCCTCGTACATCGTCTTCTTGATTCTCCATGCCTTCGACAAAACAATACCTCAATGTCTACAACTCCTCCAGCTCATTTCTTGTGATCGGGAGTTCTTTGAGATGCGTGGTGAATTGCCAAGACTCAAATCTTTTCTCCTAACGAATAACAATAATAATATGGCGATCTGTTGCCACTGTTGTTACTACGGTAGTAGGGGGGTTTACTGTTAGTTTACTGCCCTGTTGTACACTTAAAGGGGGCTAGGATGGGGCGTGGAGATGGATCGGGGTACCGTACCGCCGTACCGTACTACGGTTGTCCAATCGTAGATCCTGGAGTGAGTTGGTGCGGTGCAGTCTACCGGTACCGGTAGCAGTGTGGTGGGGCCCAGAGCATGCACCAGGATAAATCCCGGAGTTGGGCCTGGTGCGTGTCGGGCCAGAAGATGGGCCAGGCGTGAGTTCCGGAGTAGATCCTAATAATGATAGGGTCTGGTGTACATCAAGGAGTCTGTCGCTCGCTCCTGAGGTTGAACCTTCATGGCTAGGCAATGGAGTTGTGGCTGGAGGAAGTCGCTCCGGCTGAAGGGCCGGGATAATTGCTTGGGGAGAGGTGGGATGAGCAAATATGAAAGGGAAGTACGCTACATAGAAAAGCTGATGTTTGCCTACTGGTACTTGGACGGTGCACCCAAATGGCCCCAGAATCCGAAGGCAAAAGGGCCGGGGATACCAGCTCTACATCACAGAGCTGGAATCCTGTGGCATTCACCGTACAGAAAAGGCAGGTTTTACATTTAACTTGACACAAAACTTACAATAAAAACTGATACTAGTAGCTGCCACACCAAAAATGATGCCCAGTGAATTGTGTGTAGCGGTTGGTGTAATCTTGGACATTGTCGTTTGTTTCTTCATGTCGCTAAGTTGGCAGTGTCATCATGACTGCCTAGCCATCTGCAGACTGAAGCCGTTCTATCAGTTCTGCTTTCTTTCCACTGATTTTCAGCCCCCGACTGCGAAGC